AAGTTAAGAAAAGAAAAGCTAGTGTCCTAACTCCCAGTACCTGAGAATGTGACCTTATTTGCAGCCGATCTACAGGTAATCAAGTCAAATAAGGTCATTACAACAGCCCCTAATCCAATATGACTAGTGTCCTTATGCACAGGGAGCTTTTGGACATAGAGACAGGCATGCATAAAGGAAAGACGAGGTGGAAGGACAGAGAGAAGACAGCCATCTACAAGCCAAAGATAGAGGCCTCAGAAGAAACCAACCTTTCCGGCACCTGGATTTCAGATTTCTAGCCTCTAGGACTGTAAGGTAATAAGTTCCTGTTTAAGCCACCTAGTCTGTGACACTTTGTGACAGCAGCTCTAGGAAACTAATACAAAGTACAAAGCAGGACTTCTGGTTGGAGGGAAGAAGGAGGGCAAGAATCAGGGCAGCTTCCTGGAGGAAGTGCCATCTGGGTAGGCCTGGGCTGACTGTTAGAACTCATCACTGCAGCTGGGCATCAGCCCATCGGGCATTAGCTCCGAAGGGGAAGATGGAAAGGGGAGATAGAGGGGGAGGGCACACAAATCCCGCTGGGGCAGAGGCAGGATAAAGGAATGGCAATTAGAGCCTCAAGGCCGAGGCGAAGATGCAGTGAGGGGAGAATGAAAGTGGAAATGGACAGGCTGATTGGTCCAGAGCAAAGGACATTTTCAGGTGAGAAGATGAGCTGGCAACAACATTTGAGGCTGACTGACTCCTCTGGTCCCCGGGATGCACTGGGCCAAGTGGGCAGCTGCCCATCCTCACTGTGACCCACGCATTTGTTTCTCAGGCCCTCTGGTCTCCTCTGACGTACTTACCTTACACTGTGGCCTGGCACTTGATTCTTGTGCCTTTATATTCAAATAATTGAAGGTGTTGGTTCTAGTCTAGGCTTCATCGAAAGATATTTCTGAAATCTCCAGCAGACAACATAGTCCATGGCAAATGCTGTTTTTGCAGAAATCCAGTGATCACGAGGTGGCTCTATCAAATTTGCTTTAATCTTTGAAGCTGCTGCTCAAGAAGCTTAGATATAATTCTGTTGCAGTGAAACTAAAGTTTCTAAACCTTGCACTTGTACTGCTATTGTAAATGTTAAATTTAAATGCTTTTTAAATTTCGACCCTTTTAAAAACACGTCCATGTATTTGCATAGCCCTGTGAGATAGATTTGCACACTGGAGATGTAAAACTTCAAGGACTTGGCAGAGAGCAGGCCTCGTCGTGGCAGAAGCGACGCTAGACGACCCAGATTTGGTTGTCTGTGCTCCATCTGTGGGTAACAATTACTGAGCAATCAAGACCCACGAGAGGCCATTATTATCTCTTCCTTGAAGAGAGACTTGAAAAGGGAAGGAAAGTAATCACACTTCCCGTCCAGTGTCAGCTGTCTCCGGGCAGTTCCATCGCATCCAGGAAGCAGCCCTGCCAGGTGGTTGGTACAGGTGATGCCCTCAGAGGTCAAGTTCCGGACCCAATCTAGTACATGGAAGAAGTCAAATCTGACTTCGCCTCTGATTCCACTTTATCCTGCCGCCTCCATATGACGAAGGAAAGCGGATACTAGTTCTCACCATCTCTGACCCAAAGTTTGACTCAAGTATTAAAAAAAAAAAAAAAAATTTGCTCACCTGTCCCCTACGACCCACTGCCATCGATGGTGGAGGCTGAGATCGCTTGGGGGGTGGCGGGGGAGCCACTGGCGCAGCAAACACTAACGCAGGGCGGGAGGCGAGATCTCACGGGGGAGGGAGCACACACTCCGAGCCTCTACGACTTCCAGCCCTGCCCTGCCACTACAGCCGCTGAGCTCGAGCCAGTTCCTGAACCTCCCTGCGCCTCGGCTTCATTCACGTCTACAAAACGGGGTCGAGAATGAGAGTCCCCGCCCCACACGAAGTGGTGTGAAACAGCATCGTGTGTGCAAAGCACTGCGCTGCTGTTTAGCGATCGTTCGATAAGGTTGCGTGCGATCCTGAAAATCTTTGCCGGTGTCAGCCGGACCGCTCAATGGTACGATTCACCAGAGAATTAAGATGCGGACCCCACTGACGCTTGAGCCCCCTCAGACATTCAAACTTCCCGGGAGCTCGGGCTGGGGGTCAGGACTCCACTAGGAACTGTGGGGCACCTGCCTGCAAAGGAACGCAGTGGGTGGCATGGCCTTACGCTCCCTCCTCAGCCAATATCAAACTCTGGCCTCGTCTGCGGGACGCAGCTCACACCTTAGGAATGTGAAGCCACATCCCTGGCAGCTTCCACTTCATCTTCAAAATGATGCCAGCGTTGGAAGGTGCAGGGAAATTGGCCACCGTGGTCAGGGCCATTCAGGCAGGTCCTCCCGTTCCCAGTGGGACCCTCCGTTCAGGGCTCTGGAACCTCACAGCAGTAGGGAGAACCCTCTCTAGAAGCTGGATGGAGCAAGGGAGGCTCCAGCTCCATCATCCCATAGATTGACTTCTGCAGGGTCCAGGTGGTGGGAGGCAGATGGCCACCCTCTCTCCAGACTCTGGCTGCTTCATTTCACTGTAGAACCTGATAGCCCCAGCCCCGACCTGGGCGTCTGTGTGGACAGAATTCCTTAGGGTGTCTGTGGTCAGCCACTGCGCCTCGACCTTCTGCTGGGCAACAAAGTGGGAACCGGCAGCTGAGTCACCTTGCTCTCTACCGAGAAAGGGCGTATAGGCCTGGGGAGTGATTCGGGGTTCATTCCACTGTTTGGGAGCACAAACGGAGATTCCTCCACTTCTCTCACTTGGAGGGAGTAAAATATTTGGGTAGAGCCCCAACACGGTCCCTGAGACCCTGGGTGGGAGTAATGGCAGGACGCCAAAATGCCTCAGGTGGGATCTCCACTAAGCGCTCGGTGACTATGCCAGTCCCATGATCTCCGTCAGCTCCTCCTTCTCCCAGGCTTCCCGCAACAATAGCACAGGCTAAGGAGGTAAAGAGTGCTTGCTATGCAAACACGGCTGCCAGCCTAGTCCACTGCGACCGCCCACAGCCCCACAGCCCCACAGCCCGAGAGCTTCCCCAGCCCCAGGTAGAAAATCTGAAACTCTCACTGGTATAAGTAAAACTCCATTCGCTCTGGCCGGCCAATCAATCAAGCCTTAAATTTCTTCATTAACAATTTTAATCCAGGAGCGATAGAGTTAGCGTGAGATGTTTGCTGTTTCTATCCAAATGGTCTTCTGACAAATTTCTATTAATTTGAAGCAATGTATATTAATTTTCAAAATAATGATTTTGAAATTTTGAAACCTGTCAGCGACATTCCTGCAGCTGGAAAAGCCGGAACTGGGAGCTGCCACTGGCCGAGGAAGGAAATATGGAAATTAGAGGGGAAGAATGTTGGCATTTGGCCCAAAGTCCGCGGTGCTGACGGAGGAGCTGTAAGGCCAGCAGGTGGCGCTGTTGTTCATCAGCAGAAGCCGAAGAGTCGGGCAGGAGCGCCCCTCCCAGCCGCTGACCTGAGTCACCATCACGGTTCTGAGGCACTGGAGTGGGACAGGACCTTCTCCCCAAGACCTCAGCTGACCCTGAGTGACCCAGGTCCACTTGTTAAACTCTTTCCTGTAAAAAATTGAATCCGGTAACATTTGGAGCAGAGTTCCCATCCTGCTGCCTCCTTTCAATCTGCCCCTTACTGGGGGCTCTGAGAATGTTCCCAGAAGCAAATCCACGGAGCCAGCACTGCAGTGACGAAGCAGTGACAAATTACACAAATGAAACTAACTGCCCCAAGGTCGGAGTTCTGTATAAGGATCGCCCCCTCCATACACACACTTTTAAAAAAGCTTCTTTCAGAGCCTTCCCTTTGCCAGTTTTGCCATCTCTAGAATGAAGGTGCTACCTTTCTTAGAATCAATTAGCTAATGTCAGGAAAGCTCTCTGCACATGAAAAGCACTAAATTCTATGTATTAAATATTTAATTAGCCACACTTGGGTATGATTCATAATCATCTATTCAATTTGCTGAATAACCAGAGAAAATGGCAGGATCAGAAATATAATTTTAAATACAGGGTTTCATTGATTTTGTACCTGTCAGGACTGTGAGACAGAATTTTCAAATTAACATTCCAGTCCCTCCCTGTCTCCCAGGGCCCTGAGGAAGCAGGCTCTCCTCCACTCAGCCCATTGGCTGGGAACACCACCCCCCACCCACACCTCAGCCTGGCCTGATCACTGGGCGGGCAGAGCAGCGGCAGCATGGGGCAGAGTCACAGGAGGGCCTGGCATCAGGAGGCCTCGCTTCCGTGCCCAGAGCTCCTCTGCATCCTGGCAGGTCACACCATCTCTTCCACTCAGGTCAGTTTCCTCACGTCCTGTCTGTCACATGTCTGCCCCCTTTCTGCCCTGGCAAGGGCTCCGTGAGAAGAAATTAGGTCATGTGCGAGACATGGGCAATTTCAGATGAAAGACACCAAAGCAGCTCAGAGTTGAAGGTGAGTCAGAGGCATTTCTAGTTGCTTCGAAGCAACGTGGCCCAGTTTACCTTCAGATCAGGCTCCGCCCCAGCCGAGACCATGTTGTTCTCCTGGCACACGCGAGCACGTAAAAGCAAGTCATTTTTTTCTTGTTCATCCGTTCTGCAAATATTTACTGAGCATCTGCCATTGGTAATAGGCTATGCTAGATATGCGTGTTAAAATGGTATAGACAACTGCCTCTTTCTGCCAAAGCATAATTTTCAGAAAACCAAAAATAAAACCTTCCTATGGATATATGTTGAACTCAGGTGACATTTGGGGGCCCCCAGGAAACAGGCGCCAAGACGTGCAAGACATTTATTGGGGTTAAGAAAAAAGACAGAAGGAGCAGGAGGAGGCAGGAAGAGCCTTCAGATGATGACGGAGTTCTGACCTGGAAGGGAGGGGGTGGGAGGATGTGGGAGAAAGAGCCTCAGACTGAGGGGCAGCTCTGAGAATATTTTGGCCAACACAAGGGGAACCCCAGAGCAGAGGTTGCCCTTTCAAGGACGTGGGCAAAATGGCCAGGACCCAAGACCCTGCCAGGCTGCGTTACTGGCAAGGCCTGACTGTGGCATTAAAGCAGCAGTAGATCCGAAGGCACCGCACCTGCCAGCTGACCGCACTACTCAGGTCACATGGCAGAGACGCACGTGATTCATTAGACGGTTAACAACGGAAGCAACAGGATGGTAACGTTACTTTGGAAGAAACTAAGAGAAGAAATACACGTACACAGACATTCATATATAGAGAAAGAGGGAGAGAGTGGAGACAGGCGTGAAGGAATCAGACTTCAAAACTACATTCAAAACTAGTTCAGGTTCAAAGGTTAATAAAAACATTTCTACCAGTCAGGAAGCATTTGCCCCTCTACTGGACAAAAATCATTTGCAATTTATCTGTTTTGTACAAGTTCACATGTAACTTTAGCATCTGGGCCCTGATCAATAGCAAGCTGTCAGCCAGACAAGACGGCTCTCCCTAGAGAGCCAGACACCGCAGGCCTGCAGGGTGATGTCCTGACTGGCATTAGACGAGAAGTCATCTTTGTGCCTCATTTCCAAGTTTTCAGTAATCAATACTTCCTTAGGGAGCTTACATTCTAGGGGGACAGAGCTGTAAGTAAATGGGCAGTTATATTATATGACAAATGCTACAACGAGGGTCAGCTTGTGAGCGGGACACACCTCCGACTGAGGTGTGGGGCACAAGGGCCTACCCAGGAAATGTCCCTCAGCTTCAGGCAAAAAGAAGGTTGCGTTAACCAGGCACAGGGATGGGGGGCGGGGAATGGGGAGAGAGGAAGAAAGAACAACAGAGAGGCTTTGAGGGGGGCCCCTCTGAGAAGTGCGAATAATTCTGAAGGGCTGAGAGGTTGGGGGTGATTCTGGGACTGGAACAAGCAGTGAAACGGGCAGAGACAGCAAGTAAAATAATGAACAATCTTGGATGCCATGCTCAGAAATTGGAATTTTTATCCTAAATGCAATAATTGACATTTCGTTGATAAAGATCACTCTAGATGAGGTGCAGAAAATGGATCAGAGGGAACTAGAGCTAAAATCGGGCAGGTGGGTCATGAGGCTGCACCTGTCCTCTAGGTAGGAGGTGATAGGGGCCCAAACTGGTAATGACCACGGGGGCACCTAGCAGATCACAGGTCACATCCTCAAGCTGTAGGACATTTGGTGAGCTGGGCTGACCTGGCCATCCACCCAGGCAGATGGCATTTTGGTCATCGGAAGTCTTCATGGTCAGCTGAATAAAGGATGCCAAGTCCCAGAAAGAGAAAACTAGGCCATCAAAGTCCCATGAGATATGGGGCCTCCACACATGCAGCCACAGAACCAGTCCACAGGCTCCAGGCTCAAAACCAATTTGACTCCTTTATCCATCCAGTGACCCCTTACTGAGCAACTGCTATGTGCCGGGCCCTGTTTGGATGCCAGAACTAGAAAGATGAATAAGAGTGATGCTCTCGAGGAGCCTGCACATGAGTAGGAGGCAGGCGATAGCCAACAAACGCGAGGGGGCTGGTTTAATTCCACTGAGCTTCCTGGATCTGTGGTTTGTTGTGTGTCATTAATTCTGGGAAGTTCTCTGCCAATTACTTCAATATTTGCCCTGCTCAGTTCTCTCTTGTCCTTCTGGTATTCCAATCGTGTGTGTTATAACTTTTGTATCTCTCTCATAGTTCTTGGAAGTTCTAGATTTTTCTTTTTGGGTTATGGCATTTATACTCATTGATTCTTTCTTCAGCTATGTTGAGTCTACTGATGAACTCATCAAAGGCATTCTTCATTTCTGTCAGCGCGTTTTTATTTCTAGCATTTCCTTTTTGAGACTTCCTTGTCTCTCCGCTTTTCATCTCTGCACTTATATTACCCATCTGTTCTTGTGTGTTGTCTACTTTTTCCATTAGGGCCCTATACGAATTAGTCATATTCACTTTAAATTCCCTGAAAGATCATTTTTAACATTTGTGTTATTTCTGAGCCTAATTTTGCTGCTCTGTCTCTTCAGATGGTGTTTTCCTTGGTTTTTGGTGGGACTGTGCTCTTTTGTTGAAAGCTGGATAAGCTGTATTGAGTAATGGCCCCTTATGTAAGGCTTTATGATAATCCGGCTAGGAGTTGACTTTATTTAATGTTTTCTGTGGCTACAGAGGCCAGAGACTCCTTTTTGTCTCCCTTTATTGACTTTGGGTTTCCCTAAGTCCTCCTCAGAGAGTCTGCGTCTCGAAGCCATTTCATCTGCAATCCACCACCACTACGTGGAGCAGGACTGGTCTAGAGGAGGGGAGACACTGTAATCTTCCAGTTAAATCTCAGTCCTTTAGTGGGCCTGTGCCTCGAAGCAACCTTCGTAAGTGCTTCTCCTCCTGTAGGAACCACACCCTCTGGTGAGGCGGGAAGGCCAGAGGAAGCTAGGCTGCCTCATGGACAAGGCTCTGGCAAAACTTTCTCCTGAGGGAAGGTCTTTGTTAGGGACGATGCTTTGCTGTATTTCATAAGGATTGCTCTTCCTTTACCCCAGCTAGTTTCTCAGCATGAGAACCTGGTGGAGTTCCTAAGTAAAGCTCCAAAGAAAGTGGGGTCCCCCTAAGACAGCAGTCCCCAGGAATTCGTCGTTCTCACACTAGTTCGCCCTCAATCTCCAGCGATGAGTCAAAATGACCAGAGTGAGATGTTCCTACCAGTTTATGGATCCAGCGGCTTTTGCTTCAGGTAATTGGCTCTCGGCTGTGACTTTCCGGATTCATCTGTATCTGCAGATTTCAGGGCGGTGGTTTGCCCAGCAACCTCAGCTTCCTGATGAGTCCCAAAAAGGTCATTAATTTTCAAAACTGAAATGTCCAGCTTTTTCTTGTTGTAAGCACCAGAGTGACAGCTTCCAAGATCTTTTCATGTTGGAGCTGAAACCGGAAGTCAGTAAATAACTTACTTTCAGAGAGTGATGAGGGTTAAAGAATTGACTGGGGGTGGGAGGCAGTTAGCGCAAGGTCACGAAAGCCTGTCTAGGGAGACAGTTTGTGGAATGACTGCATGTTGGGAAGGAGCCAACTTCCGGAAGATCCAGGCCAGGGTGGTCAGGCATCGGGACTGGCAGGTGTGAGTTCTCGGTACTGAAAGAAGGCCTGTGTGGCCAGAGCGCAGGGAAAAGGAGGATGGAGGGAGGAAGTGAGCTGGGGCAGAAGTCAAGGGTGAGGACAGAAGGGCTTTATTCTAATTGCAGAGGGAAGCCATTGAACAGGGGAGTGGTGAGTTGTAGCTCACATTTGCAAAAGATCCCTCTGTCTAGGAAGTCCCTAGGTCTGGTTTCGCCCAGGACACTCCTGGTTTATGCGTTTTGCTCGGTGTAATTATTTACAGTGCCTCCTTTCACTTTCAAAAGTGTCCTTGTTCAGATGACAAATCACAAGATCCCCCCGACTCTGGCCACAGTAAGGAGAAGGTGTGGGGACTGCCGTCATGGAAGCTGAGCGGTCAGCTGGAAGTGAGTGCAGTGACGTGGACGAGCCACGATGGAATCCTGAATAGATGGTGGCCGAGGAGCTGAAGGGAACTAACAGTGGCCGTGGGCGTGTTGTGGAGGCAGAGCCAGTGGGGCTGAGGTGGGGCGGGGAAGGGGAGGAGTGAGGGACCAAAGCAACCATGAGTGACTCTCTCCACCGCATCATCCAGTCTTACACGCTCCACCTTGTAAACTCTCTCAAATCTGCTGTTTCTCTTCCGTTCCCACACTCATCTCTCTTGGTCAAGTCTCTTCGTCTCTCCCCTGAATTTGAAATCTCCCCTCCATTCCCATCAGTATTTACCATCATCCCCTGGATGGTGGGTACAGCCCCCAGTCTTGCAGCCTATACGTCAAGAGCAGACACCTGAGCAGCTACCACCCAGCAAATCCATGTTCTCATCTCCCCAATGGGACATGCCACCATTCCTCCAACGCCCTTCCATCCTCTGAGTAGCTCAAGGCCTTCTGCCTGGGATCCCCTCCTGCCGTCTCTGCCAACTAAAATTCTCCTCACCCTTTAGGAAACATACATGGCGTGTCCTCAAGAAGCCCTCCCAGCCAGCTGTCATTCCTTCCCCTGAATGCCCAAGACGCTCAAAAATTACCTCTTTCAAAGCCCGTACATAGTCCATCTTACAAAGTGTCACCCCTCAACTAGTTTATAAACTTGAGGGAAAGAAAGATGTTTTTCGGATCCTAAATCCTGCAGAGAACTTGGCACATCGCAAATAGCTCGAAGCTTTGTGGAGCTGAACACGTCAGGCAGAGTGGAAGGTTGCTACCGGTTTCGTTGGTTTACCCTGGCACGTTTGCCCCCTGACTTCACTATGACGCAAACAAGGAGGAAGCTCCTCAGGGCTTCCTCACTCAGAACAAGGAACGAGATCCATGCAAGACGGATCGGCCCAGCCTGGCCGACGGATCGGCCCAGCCTGGCCTCCGGTTCACCCCAACATTCATGAGCACAAGTGGTGGGAGCTCAGGTACGAGACAGACTCTTTAATTGAAGTCTCACCATTTGCCAGCTGTGTACTTTGGGCAACTCACTTAACCTCTCCGTGTCTCAGATTCTTATCTGCAAAGCTGCCAGGGATGTTGGGGAGATCACATAAGATCTTAGCACAGAGGGTGCTTAGCACAGAGTCTGGTATATAGGACACTCTCCGTGGATGTAGTCATTATCAGTCAAGTGACTCATGGAGTTGGAAGCCACAGAGAAAATCATAACTGAAGACATTGATGGGCTTTGATCATTTTATTAAGTATTTTTAAATTTTTAATGATAATACTCAGCCTGGAGAGGGCGGGGTGGAGCAGGCTGGGAGGAGAGAACACATCTCTGCAGAGCAATTTACTGAGAACCTTCAAAGCGCTCACATCATTTGACCCAGTAATTTCATGTCTGGAGAATCTGTATTATGGAAATTCATAAAAATGAAGAAAAAGCTTACTCCCACAACGTTAATCCAAGAATTATTCATAATAGCAGAAAATTGGAATTGAGCAACTATTATATAAGAAAACATTTAAGGAAAATTTGGCTTGATATCAAACAAAATGTCTGTAGTTATGAAAAGTATATTTACAAAGATCTCTTCATAGCTAGGGGAAATATTTATAATATTAAATGAGAAAAGTAGGGCTAAAAACATTTTATGTAAATGAACGTAATTAAGTAAAAAGCATATGCATGAAGAAGAGTGTAAATACACTAACATATTAATATTGGGTTATCTCCAAGTGATGAGATAATGGACAGCTTCGATTTTTCTTTTCTGGCAATTTCTAAAATGAGAATGTGCTACTTTTCTCGTCAAAAAGAAAAATCGTGCTATTTTAAAAGACATTTGATAAGGGTGGGTCGCTCGCTATTCCAGAGTGTATCCAGCGTGTGTGACACCTCATCAGTGGCTTCTGAGATGTGCCATCTTGATCACATCGTGGAGCTCGTTGATTCGCCCCTCTGGACCTCAGCGGTCTCGTTTGCAAAATGGGGATACTCATCTTCACCTGTCTAAAGGCAGGTGGCCAAATCAGTTGCTATTAGACAGGCTTTTCCAGCTCCGATGTCTTCTGGTCTCTGAGTATCTCACAGGAACCTCCTTGCAGAGGCCACTTTTCTCCAAGTATGGACACATGTGATTAGGGCGGGATTAACTGGAGAACAAGGAGGGGGAAGGCAGCATGCTTCTCCACTCATGGCACTGAGCAGGCGACAGTCAAGGACTAATTCAAGGGCCACAGCTGCCCTGAGCCTGACCAGGCCTGCCGGAGCCATCAACCTGGACAGTTGTTTCAGAGAAGGGAGTCGGCTCTGTCCTTTCTTTCTTCTTCTCGGACGGTGGCCCTGCCAGCTCTCCTTTACCACAGGGCCGTTTGGTGCTGGTCTCAGGACTTCCGAGGCAGGGGGCACATCTGCAGTTCTCTCCTCTAAAATATTTGAGGTGCAAACAGCCCAGGAGTACAATTCCGTGTGCTTCCTGCCTCCCTTCACCCCTCACCCATAGGAATCAGAGGAAGACAACAGCTTTTCTTCTGAAAACTCAAGAGCTAGAATGGAAATACGGCATCCACTTTGAGCCTGGTGGGACAGACAGGCTGTCCCGGGGCAAACACCCAGTCTTGGCCTCCTACCTGGGATTAGCAGGGCAGGCATGTGATTAACTTGCGGTCACAAGACCCTGTGTGGGACTAATCTTGAGGAACATTCTTGCCAAGCTGCACATCAGCTGTGAGGGCCCAGGAATACCCCCGCAGTGCCAGGTAAAGGCAGTGAGATGGGCCAAGCAGATGTGCATGGAGCCCACCACCGGGGTCGGATCCACGCCCCACCTCCTCCTAGCGGTGTGACTGGGAAAATCACCCAAACTCTCTAAGTGCCAGTTTCCCTACTTATAAAATGAGAATCCTAATGGCTCCTACTACACAAAGTCCAGCGAGGACTAAATGAGATAATGTGTGGGCAGAGCTTACCCCGTGTCGGCAGGTAACAAGGGCTCGAGAAATGACTAGCTCTTTTTTTTATGAAGCTCTTTTTTGGGCTCAGCACCCCTGCGGGCAGTGACGGGGATACAAAAGGTTAAACCACAGTTCTCTCTCCGGTGAGGTCGGTCGGACTACCCCCAGGAAATAGTTAAACAGCTAAGCAGCAGCGGGTGATTAAATGCAAAAGCTACTGGGAGGCAGCAATGCTATTTTTAATACCAACTTGCTGGAAGCAACCCAAGTGCCCAGCCATCCTGTAATGACTAAGCAAACCTGAAATTTTGTGACATGACAGCCCACTGCAGAGCCGTTGGAAGTGGCAGGCATGCTCCTGATGTCCATACATGGAAATGTGCCTCCGAAATAAACATTTCCAGAGGGGAGTCGCACCGTGGCACGTGCACGCTGTTTGCTGTAAGTGGTAAATATAGGTAAAGTCACTCACGGAGCTTAAAAAGGAACTTGGGGGGATGGAAGTAGTTTACCGTGTAAAGCTCGTCAGTTACTTTCCCCCTTGACAAGTTGCTTAAGCACTTGGTATTTAAAAACCAGCGAGAATAGTGCAACCAGAGAAGGGTGTGAGGTGCGGGGTAGAGGGCTGAGGAAGGCTTCGCAGAGAGGGTGGTGTCAGCAAAGGCGGAAGCGTCTGTGGATTCATATAAAGGAACAGTGACTTGGGTCCCCCTCCCCCACTGGTCCCTGTGGCCAAAGGAAGTGAGTTATGTGCTATTAAGGGCAGTATGAGAAGCGGGTATGGGAGAGCCCTGGGGGTGTGGGGGGACCCTTCTCCATGGGGGACAAGGGGAGTGGAGGAAACACTGTTTGTATATTGGGAATCAGGGCTTGTCTGTGCCAGCTGGTGGACTTTCAGGTTCTCGCCTTAGTCCTGCCCAGGGGTCGGGGCCTGGTGTGGGCCCGGATCCTGATTGGCTGTGTCTTAAGGAGAAGAGGGGCCCATGCCAGGGCTCTCTCTCAGCTGTACAGTAAGTATTCGTGAAGAGCCTGCAAATAGGGTCCCAGAGACGCTGGCAGACTGAGAGCGTAGAAATAGTTGAGGAAATGCACCTCCATCTGGGCCGACCAGCGAAGGCTGCTGCTGACTGCACCATATCCTGCTGCAAACCGTGAACCAAATCTCCAGGGCGTTTCGAGGCTATGATCTCTCTGATTAACTTATGGGGTAACTCGCTCAGCTGTTGTTAGGGTCTGGCCAGCCTCCAGGGATCAGCTCTCGGGTCTGGCTTCTGTCCCCCCAAACATGAACCTAGAGGCATCATGGAAAGGCACAGAACAGACGTTTAGCACCTGACAGATGTGGGTTTGAATCCTGCCTTGGCCACTTAACTGTGACCTTGATCACGGTTTCTAACCTCTATGAGCCTCCGGTTACTCATCTATAAAAAGGGGGACAGTTATGCCTCCCTCCAGCATTTGAGGATTAGCAATAATGTGTGCAAATGTTGGCACAGATTAGAATCTCAGTGAGTGATGAGCATCACCCTGTTCTTCCTGAAAACGAGCCTGTGATGGAAGAGTTCTCACTTTGGTGAGATAATCATACTCCGGAGCCACACACCTGCAGCATGAACGTGGCCTCCTCCCCATCCCACATTCTCTGCACTGCCCAGATGTGGGCTTCCTGACCCACCCCAGTCAGAGGCGGTTTGTGCATCAGACAGGCTCCCTCTGCCAGCAGGTAAGCCTGGTGATCAGGGCAGGTCAGGGAGACGGGAGGCAGTTGCTGCTGAATTCTGGCTGCAGATGGCTTCTAGAACTCCCATGGGAGGGCCTCGACCCCAGGAGCACCTCCGTAGTGGACTAGCCACCTAGGGCATAATAAAATATATATATTTGGTTCCTGACACAGAGATTCTAAAACCCTAGGGATTTCCCGAGTTATAATAGTGATGAGTGTCTTTTTTTTTTCTGTTTGATCTTTGTCCCTGGTTCATGACACAGAGCTCCTACATCTCTTGTCATTTCCTGGGTGATAGGAGCATCTTGTCATAATGGGGCGTCTCCAGGTGGGCCCTACATAGCTGCAGGATGGGACAGGTCTCCAGAGACAAAAATTTAATTCAAAGACTGAAACTTTCAGCCCCGATCATGTCTGTTATGAAGCCCCACTAAAAGTCCCAACAGCATGGGGTTCAGCGAGCTTCTGAGTTGGTGAACAAATCTATATGCCAGGAGGGTGACATGCCCCAACTCCATGGGGACAGAAGCTCCTGCACTCAAGACCCTTCCAGACCTCATCCTGTGTATCTCTTCATCTGGCTGTTCATTCATATCTTTCATTATATTCTTTAGAATAAACTGGTAAGTGTAGATAAAGAGTGTTCTTGAGTTCTGTGAGGTATGCTAGCAAATTACATGGGAATCCCTGATTTACAGCTGGTCAGTCAGAAGGGCGAGAAGCCCAGGACTTGTGCCTGGCATCAGAAGTAGAGACAGTCTTGTAACAGTGAGCCCGTACCCAGCGGGGGCTGCCCTAACTCTGGGAGCTACTGTCAGAACGGAATTGAATTGTCGACCGCCCAGCTGTGTTGGGAGATCAGAGGATTGGGTGTTGGCACTGAAAAACACCCCACTATCTAGACTGTCAAAGTGACCGGGAGCCCCCAGGAGAGCAGGCATCGATCACAAGCGCTTTCTCATTAATGAATGGCCGGAAGTAGGGGCCTCGTAGGGGAATCGCCCAGGCCCATCTTGGCCTTGGAGGCAGGGCTGCTGGGGCACTTGAGTGAGTCCTAACAAGTCAGAATGCTTCCACACGTTTTTTCCTAAAATTTTAAATTCCAGACTCGTAAATATTTCTGGTTCATAAAAGATCTTAGATTGTGTACACATTATGCGATTATTTCAGGTTTTTAAACGATCAAAATAATACTTTTAATCCTCTTTTGAACACTCTCTTTAAAGAGGAGTTCTAGTTCCTTCTTTTTTTCCTCAAGAGATGCCGGCGAGACTCTCAGGTCCCTCTCGCTGCTCGTTGCACTGGACAGCCACACCAGCCTCTGACAGAACCATCGAGAAAAGGAAAACATGACAGAAAATTCATGTTCACAAAAATCTGGAAGCACAGTATTGCAGTATCCTCTCTGGTCTCCTCTCTGTTCCACCCCTCCCCCACCAAGGCATTTCTTCATTTGACTTCTCAAATTGTCTCAGACACCAAAAAAACCCACGTCGCCCAAAAGTAAATGCCTGGTTTTTTCCCAGTCCTGGCTGCCAGACCCTCCTGATGTCTCCTGAGGTTCCACATCCATGAACGGCATCAACATCCATCCCTGAAATGACGTAAGCCGGAAAACTAAGTCGTCTGTATCATTGCCTTTTTTCTCACCACCCAAACCAACCCATTGCCAAGCGCCATTTCACTTCCAAAATATCTCTAAATCCACCCACTGCTCACTGCCCCTACTGCCGCCACCTTAATCCAGGTGTCTTTATCTCTTACCTGGACGACTGTGGTGGCCACCTTCTGGGCCCAGTCAGATTCCCTTCCCATCTGATTCCCCGACTGCACTATAAAGATCTTTTCTAACGTATGGCTGATTCTAGCACGCTCTGCTTAAAGACCTCCAATAGCTTCCCATCGCTCTTAAAATAAAAAGCAATTTTCTAATAAGCCTGTAAGGCCCCTATTCAAATGCGCCTTGTTCTCTGTGCTCTGGCCACACTGGCTTCTCGAATTCCTCCCATGAGCATTTTTGAATGTCACAGGGTCTGAAAGGGTGCTACTTACTGGTATCCATTTGGAGGGCCAGAGTGACCAAGTGTGCGTCAATGTTGGGTCGATCCCACGCAATAAAAATCTTTCTTGCTCTAAAGCCAATGGCAACTCTGTTGAGAAATACTAAAGGAAATTTGGTGAAGGAAGGCATAATAAAATTAGATAGTCCCTTAAACAAGTCCCACAATTCTAAAGAACTGAGCCCTCAACACCATGAAGAGAAGAAATCGCTTTTTATTAAGATATAAAGAACAGTGGTACCAATAGCTGCCTCATCCTGGGTTTGGCATCCAGTCCTGGTGCCAAAGCAAAGCAAGACCCTCGAAGTCTGGACTATAGCTGGCACACATACAAGTACACACACACACACACACACTCACACACAGATGAACTCTGGCAAGCACATACTCACATGTAGATACATATGGCCGGCACACACACACGTGGATAGATTGCTGGAACACACACACAGGCATGCACACACACAGGTGGACGGACTGTGGCTGGGCTTATACACACACATGCATGCACACGAACACATGCACATACCCCTGGATGGGCCGCGGCTGGGACACACAAATGCACATGCATGCACATGCTCACATGGACAGAGGTAGATGGACTGTGGCTGGCAATAGAGGCGGTGAGAATGGTGGTCCTACATGGTGCAATTGATCCTCACCCTCCCTGTCATGCTTCTGTCTGGGGACCCTCAGAGGCTCAGAGCTGGGTCTCATGGAAGCCATTCACAGGATGGATGCAGATCACCACTCCAGCTCCCCAGGGCAGGTCCCCCTCTCACTGGTTCTTTAGGCACAAGACGCACTCTGAGTAGCGGAGGCATAATTAGTACTGGCTTCACTGCTCTACCTTGCATGAACAGACAATTTAACTAATGTACCAGGATTCAAAGCTATGTCATGGGCTAAGTTCAGCATTTTCTCTCTAATTTATGGTGAATTCCAAACCAAAACAGATATAGTACACTTCTTACATCCTCTTTCCAAGGTGAGACAATCATAAAGATATTCTTTAGAAAATTCTCTCTGCTCAGCTGACCCTGGCTTTCCCTTACCTGCTTCTTCTCCAGATCACATGTTCATGAACAGATCTGCTAAGAAGTCCCCCGAGCCGTCCCCTTGTGACTAATAGAAACTCCTAGTATAATAAGGTCTAACAGAATACAGCATAATGTATCATATACATTCCTACAATCTTTATAAAAATTCTATTAGCTTAACTGGCTAAAGTTCAACAATCGCATTGCCTCTTTTTCTCTGATAACAAGTGTAATGCATGTTTATTATAGAATATTCAGAAAAGCACAAAGAATAAAAATTGGAAATCATTCGCTATCTCACCATACGAGATATCATTGTCAACGTTTTGGTAATTCTTCTCCTCCAAGCATATGTAATATACCCTTCTTCACATAAAATTGAAATCACGTGATATATTTTGCTTTTTAAGTGGTTCTATGCATTGAGCAATATATGCATCACATGTTCCATACATAATTTTTATGGCTGTATGTCATCATATTGTATGGATGTTCCCAGCACTTACTTAACCAACCTCCTTATGCTGGACATTTGTAAGTTCAAGTGATACTGAGCTCTTCAACTCTCCACTAATTCTCCTCCTTTGGACGAATTCCCGGATGTGAAGTGGCTGGATCAAAGGCTAGAGGCTTCGATACTTATTGCCAACTTGTCTTTCCCAAGTGTCAGAACAGTTTCTAGTCTCACGAGCAGTGTGTATGAGTGTCCATTTGCTCGGACGCTTATCATCAGTGATTGATAGTTTCTTCCTGGCTCTTGAATTTTAAATGCAATGGGCCACGTTCAATGAAATGCATCTTCAGAATTCATCACCATCCCAGGAAGCCCCACAGATACATGAAAGAGAGCACTTCTGAAATGACCAGGAAAACAAATGACATATTTAAATGCAAACTGAATGCCGAAATAGGTTTTGCCAACTAAATGATAGAAGAACACTGTTTTGCTGACACATTATGGATGAAAATTTCAAGCATACGCCTTGTCCATATATTAAGAATATCCTATTAGTCAGTGGCAATGTCTCCATCACTTGTCATTCTTGCCATTCAGTTTCTAGTGACACAGACTCTATACTCTAGGGGGTCATGTTTTCAAATATTACTCCAAGCTTTATTTTTCCACACTCTCATGTCTCCTAGTTTTCATCAAGGGTCCTACAGGTTTGCAGACTTGTGTGGCTTTCGTGAGATGGGGAAGGTCAAGGGGGTATCCATCGAAGGCCTTCCAGGGAGAGCAGTGTTGAGATTCTGCCCTCCATCAAGGCCAAGCATCCATCTAACAACACTGACTGCCCCCGCTGCAGCACTGACTCAGGACGAGGGTGCAGACATGGCGTTTGAATGCAGGAAAACGCCAGTGACTCATCTTCCTCTGGAAGGCTGGGCAAGATTGTGGCAGTCTCCTAAGGTGAAGGTGCCTCATTTGAAATTCACCAAAAATCCCCAATGTCTCAAACGGTTCCTTCTGTCTGAAAAAATTGCATGAGATTTGTCACATTTGGCTACTCACATTTGGCCAGAGCAAGTTCTAGCTCTGGAATTTAATCATCAGATCGAACAACTAATTTCTAAATTGGGCTTGTGATGAAGACTATTTCATAGGGATATTAATTGTTTGAAGTTTGCAGCCAGAAAATACATGACAGTCTAGATTTTATGGCTCGTTCTAGATAACGGTGACACATAACTGAGAAATGCATCTGCTTCTTAAATCCATAAATTGGATGTTGTTTATAATAATGCAGCCAGAGCGGTAGCACCTAATCATAAGAGTCACTGTCCCCATGGAAAATCATTATTTAGTGTATACCTGATAAATTGGTCATTGTTCACAAGCAGAAGAGAAATTGATAGGGCCCGTTTTATTTACAGGGGAACGGGCAATATGTTATCTTCTTATTGGACTGCTGGTTTTCCCATCGGAGGGTTATGTTGCCTCTTGTGTGTCACTCAGAGAATTTTCTCAATGTCATTAGTCTTTAAGGCTTTAATATGCACGGCATAGGAATAATCATTCTTAATCTCTGAGTTATTTTCAGAGAAGAACCTTAGAAATATATTTTCAAATACAAATTTAATCTCTCGCCTCTCAAATGGAAAAACAAAGAAATGACAAATGGCAATGAGTAACTTTATTATCCCAAGCTGGCCAGTTACAACGATAGGCAAGTTACAATGATGTCATCTGTCTTCTAATATGGGAAGGTAACAGTTAGGCATGATTCAGTAGATGGTATGTGGCTGAGACTGAGCATTCCAGCCTCACAGACATGTGTCCCCACTGGAAACTTGGCAGCCTCTCCCTGGAGATTAACATCATTCTCACTGGAGAACATGGCATCGCCACAGGGGACAGGGTTGTGCTGTGAACTTGACACTGTGATGCAGGCTGCCCCTCCCCGCAAGCTCCAGGTCCACCACCTTGGGTGTGAGCTCTGCTATTCCGTCCACTGTGCTACCATCACCACAGGGAGGGCTGCCCTGGACCCTGGTTGCTGATTCCATCCGCCAGCTGCATGAACGAGTGAGCCCTGCGCTGGTAAAGCACACAGGAGCTGAACGACCTCTGAGAACGACGGGCAGGCCAGGTGTGGGCTGTGCATCACTCCTACTCACAAGTAAGGAGACTCAGGCTCCTCTGAGGCCACTGAGGCTCTTCCCAGCTTCTAGCACTTTCCAAAGTTCTGGTGGTTTAGCTTCCAGGCCACACAGCAGCCTTCAGATTTTTAGCCTCTCCTGACTCACCAGAGTAATTTGCACTGAATTAATCTGCAGGTATTTATTGAGTCTCGACCACATGGCCAACACTGTACTTTTGCAGGAGGTAGTATAGGAGGGGTTCCAGAGAAAGAACTGCAACCACATTGTTGACATTTTCAAAGGCTTTCACAAAAAATTGTCTCCAGGTGATGAGACCAGTGATCAGAGCGTCAGCCCAGAAGTCCCAGCTCTACTGCCGAGCTGGCGCTTCCTCGGTGGTTGTCAGCATCCACACTAGGGCTTATGCCGCTGGGTTTCTGTGGGGATCCAACAAGATAACCCATAATAAGCATCCATAGGATGTTGGCTATTATCCTCGTACCAACCCTACTTTGCAGACAGAAACACTGTAGAAAGGGTACAGAGAGAAAAATATAAATAATATTTCAGTTTTCTTCCATTCTTGCACAACTCATCGAGGTTGATGTTTTTACAACCTTCCTCTTTTACAGGTGAGGAGACAGAGGAGGGCAGTGCTTCTAATTATTCGTGACTATTGACGTTTGGAGCCAGATAATTCTTTGCTTGGGCCTTTCCTGTGCATTGCGGGAGGTTTAGCAGCATCCCTGGCCTCCAACAGAGGCTACTAACACCATCCCAGGTGTGGCAATCTAAAAAGTCTCTGGGCATTGCCAAATGTCCCCTGAGGGAAAAATATCCCCCCAGTTGAGACCCACTGAGGTGGAGTAATTTGTCAAAGGGCTAATGAGGACCCCTGCCCCTAAAGTGACTCATCCTCTATCACTAGGGCGCCTCTCCAAAAGGACTCATTACAGAGTCACAGAGATGAAAACACCAGCGAGTTCTGCCTGATTCTCAAGCGCCATCCAAGTTCACAAAAGGGAGCATTGGAGATGAGTTTCCCTTTAGACAAGGTCAGGTGAATCAAGGAGATGGGCCGTGGCCCGGACACTGCAGGCAGGCTATATGGAAGACAGAATGGAGGGATGACCATGTGCAGTGTGGCTGCTGAGGGAACTAGAGGCAAAGGCCAGAGAGGGGCTGCATGGGCACCTTGAAGACCAAGGGGCCCAAGGAGGTTGGATAGGGCACGGGTGAGAGGACGTTGTAGGCCTCGGGAGTTGTCAGAAAAGTTTGGACCTGATGCCTCAGACTCCAAGGGCTGGTCCCCAAGCGGGTGGAGGCGTAGGCCTCGGGAGTTGTCAGAGAAGTTTGGACCTGATGCCAGGAGAAGTCAGACTCCAAGGGCTGGTCCCCAAGCGGGTGGAGGGTTGAAGGAGCATGCAGGCAGTTTAGAGTGAGGACATCCATCTGGAACAGCAGGGCCTCTGTGATCTGAAGAGAGGCCTTTGCAAGCTACCACCAGCAGTTCTTACAACTCGCCTGTTATAGCTGGGTCGGAAGAGAAAGGTGCGATGCACAAAACTTGGTGATGTTTAGGTGGGCAGTGGGGCCCTGCACTGACCCGGCTGGTGAGCAGGTCTGAGCCTCACTGCTGAGAAGCTGTGGCTGATGACTTCCGCTTAAGACTGGCCAAGTACCACAGAAACCAGGCTGCCCTTTTCCCCCAGCCTCCCAAAGACAACAAGCAAATGGACCTTTGATTAGGCCCCTTCCTGGTTCTGAAGGGTAGGCTGCAGAGCTGTTCACTCCAATCACCATCTGGGGAGTCAGGATTTCCTGAGGTGAGCAGCAAAGGCTCACGGCTTTCTCACTCCTACTCCCCCGGAAATCCGGCTGAGAGTCGACCAACAACATCAACAAAAAAAAAAAAAGAGAGAGAGAAAGAAAAGCACCGTGTGGGTCATTGGTCTATTTTTATTCTGCATGGCCTGACTTGGTGTTTACGTGCCTGGACCACCGGCTACCTGTGAGAATTTCAACATGATGTGTGTTCAAGATGTTCTCAGAATTTCCAGCCGGCAGATTCTGGCGGGCTGTTAGTAGAGGTCAGACAGTAGTAGCTGGTCATCTGCATGGAAGGTACCAGGTTGAATAACGTCTGAGCGAAATTGGTGACCGGCCCTGTGCCTTTTTAATTTTTTATTTTTTAGTAGACCAGACCTTTCTTCCACAAAGAGACAAATCATTCGCTGAGTCATTCATCGAGTCGTCCACACATTTATTTAGAAACATTTACAGCTGCTGTGAGTCGGGCTCCATGCTTAACATTGGATCAATGAGTGAAGAGGCAAACAAAAATTCGACCTAAAAGGATATAGCTTACTGGAGCATCGTGGGTAGTTGTGCCATGTATTATGAAGGGCTAGATGGCTCCTTCTCGCTAAGAATGCATCTTAACTGTGTACACACAGCATAGGCAACTAGAATGCTGGTAGATCAGCTGAGGAAAGCAGGTGTTACCAAGTTAAGTGTGACCAGCTGGGCAAATTCTTTCTTTATTTCCCGTTATCAGTTATTTTAGGATGCCAAGAAATATGCCCGTTAACTTGCTGACTTTACTTCACCAGCTGCTCATGCCCGGAGCTAGGTGTCATGGAGCCCGGCCACCAGCAGAGGGAGCCTCAGGCTCATCCCGGAGCTCTGCCTGCAGCAGGGAAAGAAAGGCCTGTTTGTGCCCAGCCAGCCCAGAGGGAACTGGAGGATGAAGTTGATCAGAAAACTATTTGGCTCAGCCCCCACTTGCTGAACTGACGGAGCCTTATGTCCACGATGAAGTCACATACAATGGAAAGTGCCTGGCAATCAGCAGAGATTACAAAACCAGGGGAAGGAAGCTGCTGGCCGGGAGGGGGCAGCGGGGACCAGGAAGCCCTGCTTTTCCTTAGGGCCAGCACCCATCCGAGCCCGAGCCAAAGCCTGAGGAGTTGGTGTTGACCTTGGAAGCCCCACCTGGGTCTTTTATTTGCATCAGGTTGCCCACTGGGAATCCTAAGGCTGAAATCGTATATTGAGAAAGGGAGAGTGAAGACCCCCCAGGATGGTTGCCAGGCAGGCTGTCAGTCCGTCAGTCCACCCTCTGATTTCACTGGCTAATTGACAGCCCTATCGCAGGCGTCAGCAGTTAGAGCCACTTGGCACACAGAAGGGGGACCATGAAAGCAAGGCTGAGATCTTCTTCAGGGAACAGAGTCTTCCAAAGGCTGAGGGTCTGTGAGACGTGACAGCTGAAGAAAATTAAATGTGACTGCGGCACGGTGCCTGCATTATCCAGCCCGGCAGGCAGCCTGCAGCTTCTGCTGCCCTTGGGTCTAGAGAGGGTGGCTGGAGGGACAGAAGGTAAAGGAAATGCTGTGACAGAACCCCATTTAGGAAGGTGCCTGCCCATTTGCTTATCAAACAGTAAAGCAGCCCCTTTTCACTCCAACTCAACTCAAGTCACCTGCAGGAACCTTACAGGCTGATTGGACCTAGGAAGGGGGCCTGGTTTCTGCTGGAGAAACAAGTGATTCAGACAAAGAGTTTTGTCCCCTCCTCCCAGAAGAGCCTGGGGCCTGCACCCTCCTTAATGGGTATAGGGACCATGGGCAGAGTGGAGGGGGTTCAGTGCCAATAACAGACAACATAGGAAAGCACTTCACTGCCCACCCTTGCCCCTGCCCCTCCCCAAATTCAGGCCACCCACTGGCCAGGCCCGGAGGAACACGGGGCCCCGGCTGCCTGCGCTCACACTGAGACCATGTCTGGCTTTGCCAGGCTGCCCTGGAGCCACCATGGAGCAGAACGGCGGCTGCGCCCGGCCCTCCCCCACCCCCGGGGTGGCGCTGGAGTCACGGAAGGCCGGGCCCTTTTTGCGGAAGTGATATTATGTAGATAATAATCATTTATTCACCAGTCATAAAAATGATCCGTGGCCCGTGAGGAATCAGAGCTGGGCTGATGAGCATCAAGCAGCAGGCCTAATCAGAAATTCAATATTCTCTACCCTTCTTTCTATTAACGATCAGAGCGCTCCGGGAGCCTCGCCGCAGGCTTTCCCGCAGCGCGCAGGAGCCGGGGAATGGGGGTGCGGGGCTGCTGTTTCTTTCGTTGGTGTTTGGGTGGTGTGGGGTGACCAGCCCTCTGCCTGCCTGGGCGCCCCCTCCATTGCCTCCAGCCCCCCCGGGGAGATGGGTCCCAGCCCCGCGGTCTGAGGCAGAGCCTCCTGCAGCTGCATGGTCAGGCTGCCTTCATCTCATTTCCATGCCGGCCTGCGCTGCTACTTTCCCACCTGCTTCTCCACAGCTTTATAAATCATCCTGGCCTTTTAAATAAATCTAGGCTGTCTTTCAGGGCGCTCGTAAGCAAATGAAAGTCAGGTCCAAGGGACAGAGTAGTAGCTATCCTTGATTCCTTTGCTTATTTCCTTCTGTTCAAAGACTGCTTGACCGTTTGCTATCTGGGCGACCCAGGGCGTGATTGTAAGGAAGGTAAAATATGGCGGCGGGCTCCTCTGTCTCCGTCTTTTGTCCTCCCTGTCAGCACCCCAGGGGCTCCTGACCTAGAGAAAACCAGTCTATGGTCTATACACTCCCAGTGCTCAGGTCCTGGGGGAGTTTGCACGACACAGGATAGGACTGCCCAGCTCCCATAAATGGTAGCGCTTCCGGGGTGGAGGGCGGCAAGGAGCTGTCCCCGGGGCCTCCCGTCATCGCAGCTCTTGGAATGGCATGGAGGCCTCTGTCCTGGGCCCATGGGCAGTGTGAGCCGCCCCCCTTCCCCCCGAATCCTCGCGCAGGCCTCCCTCGGCTGCTGGTGCAGACGCTGCTGCACTCCCTCCTTTTTTGTCACCAGCTGGCAGCCGGAAGATGGGGGACCGCTGCTTCCACCTCAGTCCTGGTCTCCAGACAGCTGCCTTCCTTCATGCACGTGAGCGCTGAAACCCTGGGGCCCCATAACAGTTTGGAAAAGGCCCCATGCACTGGGAGAGAGCCACCCCCTCTAGGCTACGAGGCCAGTACCAAGGGTTCTGCTGTTTTCTCTCAAATCCTGGGTGCCTCACCCTACTCCCCTGAGCCGTGGTGGGACGTGTGGAGGGTCTTATGGGCAGTTCCATCCAGCCCATATGCTTCCTGAAAACGGAGGCCTCTGATCTCCTGGCTGAGGCGGGGTCCACCGGGGGTGGGGGGTGTCTAGGAAATTGGCAGCGGGGGTACATGAGGGCAAAATATGCTCCAGATATGTGTAGACTTGGCCACAGTGTCCTGAACATTTGCAACTCATTGGAAAATACCAGCACTATTTACTCACCAGTCACTTGACCATGAACCGTCATCGTCTTTGTAGGAAAAGTTCTACATGAGCATAAGATGCAGGAGATCTTAAGTGGGCAGCAGGAACTACCACTGACTGGATCCTAAACCGCGCTCGGCACTGGACTAGGATTTCTCAGGTATGAGTTCTCGAGTTCATTGTGTTCCATGAACTAGGGGTGCTGTGGCTGATTAGCAACTCTCAGAGGTGGAAACAGACTAACTGGTCGAGGTGTGAATTTGCCTTCCATCTTACTGTAACTGAGTTTCCTGTTTAGTTTCCTGCTACCAGTGGGCTCCTGTGGGTGAGCTCTGTGCAACTCTCAGAAAAAGGGACAAGAGCGGCATTAAGCCAATCATGAAAGAGCGTAAGAAGTTTGCCTGCTGTTGTCTGGCCTCCTCTGACACCCCGCCCCCAGCCCTTGCACTCACAGACTCTGGGTCCAGCGGAAGGAGGGCACTTAGCTCCCTTGGGACCTGACGGCACCCCTCCTGATAAAGTGGGAATTCTGCCTCTCCAGTGCAAGATCCCCACGTTTATGTAAGGGAGCAGTGATGAGGATCAATGTTGTTTAGGGTTTTGTTTTCCAAAGGCTGGAGGAAAAGGTATAGCGTTGGGCAGGAACGTGGAGGCCTCCGCATCCCTGCTAGGAACAATGAAGAAACTGGCTATTCAAGTTGTCTTTTCCTTTCCCTCTGAGCTCCTGGGATCTGCTGCCACCTCAGGGGGCCTTTTGGCCCACACATGCTCCCTGCTTCCTGAAAAGTCAGAATGAGAAGGTAACAAAATGTGCAAAAATTAGTGCTTTGGTTCAGGAAATCCCAACTCCTGGAACCAATGGGTTAATATGGGGTCCACTGATAAATTCCAGCTGCTTCAGTGTGTGCTCCGCGGTGCGTGCTCCACATTCCAGCTGGGGGCCATGTAATCAGCGTCGGAATGGGCAAAAAGGATAATATCTTGCACCGTGTCATTTTTGTTTCTGCCTCCCAATTCACCCAAGCTAAAATTTCAACTCCTCGCTTCAACTTGGTCGGGCTAGTGTAAAGTTACTTTCCAAAAAAACCGAGAGAATATTTCGTGTGAAGAAGGTGTGGCAAATGGAGCTGGCCTGCATTTGATGGAGAACAATTTCCACTTGGGGCTGGGCCTGCCCGCCCCAGGCTCGCATTGAATGATCCCAGCTGTGCAACTTCTGGCAGGCTCCTACCTCCCGCCCACTCTGAGGGAAGAACTCCTCCCCTCCTTTAGTAGGGCATCCGGGAAACAGGCGGGGGAACAGGTGGGTCATAGCCAGATGCGGACTGTGTACCAAGAAGGCCTAGCCAAGTCTAGAGAGCCTGTGCGGCTTCTCAAAACTAGGCAGCATCAGCTCATTTGAGAGAAAGCAATTGGGAAAACAAATATCAAGTCAGAAGAGGAGAGACCATGAAAATTAGAAAGTGCTGAGAACCTTCTAGGCTTTAAGAGTTTGGTCATGCTATTAACTTCTCGGTCCCTTGGCCAGCAGCAACAGTCTTAAAGTTCTTTTAAGGAGAGGCACATCAGAGTTCCAATCCACCAGAGGCCTAGAAGCACTTTTTCCTCTTAGATTAAAAAGTTGGGATGGATAATTGAGAAGGTCCCTTTCAGGTTATTCTAAGACTCTCCAAATCTGGCTATGATCCATTTCACTAATAAGCAACTGTCTACAGAGATGGACTAACACATCATAGCTGTCTCTTGGCTAGCACTGGGCTCACTGGTGTCCCCAGAAGTGAAGGAGGTGGACACCAACAAATAAACTACTGTGAATACTATTTGTAACATTAGTACACGGACACACAAATGTGTGTTCAGAACCGAGGGACTTTTGCTGGGACAATTTCTAAGCAATGCCTTGTAAATCATCACTCAGCAATGACTCCACAAAGCACTTAAGTTCATCCTTCATCTGTAAAACTTTGTAAGCAACGCCATGCAAATAATAGTTATTTCAAATCCTCACAAACCTGAATCTCTTGGGGGTGGGGGGGGTCTCAGTAGGTCACTCAGAGGTCACAACTTAGCATAAAGGTCTAAGAGTTTCCACCTGAATCCACAGGTGCAGGTCACTCCTAAATCCACCTCACCAAGGGGTGTAGGCAAGAAGGAGCTCCTGGTCTGCCCCCTTTACACCCCAAGTTAGGTGCAAGACACCTGACTTCTTTTTAGACTCAGGAGTATGATACTCAAGACTGCATCTTTATGTATATATTTCAAGACTGTTTATGCACCTATTTTTATGTAGAAGGCATCTTGTATGTGTCAACTCTTAGGTCCCCAGATCTGGAGGGCAGGGGGACTAGAATCATTTAATCAGAAAATAATTTATTCCATCCAGCTGTATTTTATATAGCAATGAGTCACCTTAAATGCTTTCTAGAAGAAGGTGTCTATAGGTCAGTAAATTAATTTAAAAAGAGTAAATGGTTCGGCACATATTCATTATTCACCTTCGGAGGGCAGAAGACTCTAGGCTTTATGAGGTTGGGGAGTTAGGGCAGGGAAGACAGACGGACAGGACATGGTCTCATAAGAAGATGCGACACAGACCCAGAATAATGCAAGACCACATGGGGAAAATAAACCGTGGGTACTAATGACAACAAGTAAGGCACGCAGGACTTCACAAGAGAGCCGTGCTGGGGTGGTCGAGATGATGTCTAGACGCTGCAGTGAGGTGCATAAGAGACCATTTAAAGATCTACCCACCTCAGAGGCCTGTGCCAACGCTGAAGGACCTACGAAGACCCCCAAGCCCTCCTCCTGCGGCTCACGTGGAAGTCCTTTCTTCTGTCACCTACAGCCAACTCAAGGTCCAGCCAAGGGCAATGTAAATGGGTTAACAAAGGAAAACAAATGACAGGGATTCTGAAGAGAGAGACAGATTTCTCACCCCACGGGCTTACGCACGGCCTGGTGTATGAAGGCTTTTTAGGCCACAGTTTCCTCACATAACAAGGGCTTCTCATCCCTTGCACGGCCCAAGCAGACCCAGAGAGCTGGGGTGGGGTGGTGAGGGGGAAGGAGTCTGCATCTGGCCCAGTTAGTGTCAGGTGGACATCAGGACCGAGCCCCAAAGGGTGGCCAGGTGTCCTCAGTGGTCACCAATGAAGTGGTTGGAACCAGAGCCAAGGACACTCTGGCAGTTAGCTGGAGAGGGAAACTAAAGACAGTTTCTACCCTGACCAAATCGAGTTTGCCCCCCACCCCCTTTTTTTAAGAGGTCTCCCACCTAGCACAAGCCCTCACCCAGGACCAAAGGACACTTGTCTGGAAGAGAATCCTCACCATGACCACATCAAATGCCCCTGAAGTGGACTCACATTTGGAAACTGCCTCAATGTACTTGGACTTCAACGCTTAAAATGGTGGCTTTTGGTTGTATAAACTCTTACATTAAAACATTTTAACATTTTGTTAGTGATTTTTTTTTCTTTGTAATTGGAATTGAAGAGAATTTCATTCCCATTATGATGTAGCCATCCTTTAATGCCATCGTCAAGGTTTTCTTGTGCCTCCTGCCAACACAAACCCAGCCCGGCTTGGTTTATTTTGCTGACTGCCCACGGATGGCCTCTCGCTTCCTCACGGCCTCCTGGGGGACCCGTGCGCACTCAGACACACCCCAGGAAAAACAGGGCAGTGGAGGGGTGGCTTCCAGCTCTGCTCGCCACTATTCTCAGATTCAGCAGTCCTCAGCAAAAGGACGTTTCCAGAAGTTCCAGAAAGTTTACAAGACGTTTTATTTTGTTTTTTAACAATTACCAAGGAAAAGAAAAATAAATCGACATGAGTGAAAGCAGAAATCCCTGCTCCCCGACACACACACAGACCAGACAGTGAAATGGAACGGACTTTTTCTCACAGGCGGACGTGCCCGCCACTGGAGCTGTTAGGGGTCCAGAGCGGGCGTAATTGGCCTGGTGGACCTTTTCTTTAGCTCTGAGCAATTCCCTATGCTTGTTCTTCATTGAATAAACTTGCTCATTAAGGTTTCAAAATTAAGGTTTCAAAATTACAATACATAGATCCCAAAGGGCAACTTTCAAATTGCCCAGTCAGAGCGTTACACAGCTACTGGTTTTCAGCAAGCCAAACCGAGGCTGCCCGAGGCGGACCCCGAGTTATAAATGTGGCTTAGGCCTGTAAACAGGGGGTACACTCAGGATGCCTTTAACTGATAACTCAAGTCCCTTCATCGTTGTTGATGACCATCGCTTATAGTCCAGGAACAACATGAAAAGAGGACTCACCAAAAACTGTCCAAAGACTTTCCAAATGATTTATTTTTGAAAAAGTTCATACCGTGCGTGTGTTTAAACTTTAAAGATTCCCTAATTGTCCAGCAATGAATTATCTTCCAAGTCGTACCTGAAAAATCACTTCTCGTGAAAATATCCATCAGTACAAAAACGGCTTAATGAGATATAACATGCCATTGGAGAGATCCTAAAAGATGAGCTACATGTCGATGACATTCAGGTACTAAGCAACAGATGGAAGTTGGGTTCTGGAGAGGAGGTTCAGAAGTATGTGACTGTGTCGGGGGAGGGGCTTGCCTTAGGCAAGCAAGTGGGCTCGCTTTACTCCCAGGGACCCGAGCAGCAGGATGGAGCTGGAGCCTCAGGTCAGCTCAGGGATGGACAGAGGTGGAGGTGCTCCAGATGAGCCACCAAACTTCCAAGGGGACAGTGTGCAGTGCCAGCAGCCCACTTTAATGCATGCTCTGAACATGCCCTCAACATGCCCTCCAGACAGAAGAATGGACGCAGAGAAAGGAGCTCTTCCTGAGATATCCCACCTGGTGTGGTGAAAGAGGCAGCTTGCTCTGGACGCTAACAACTCCTATGCCACATAGTCAAAGCACACAGTTAAAGCATAGGTAGCAAAATGGAATATATCGTGAACCAAGTCTCAATATTTACATTTGAGGAAACTTCACAGTCAAACACAGAGTATTATTTCTCAAGTCATATTTTCCCCCCAAGGTGATGGGGCATTTGGATGGAAAGGGAGACAGAGAGGAAAATTGCCTGGACTGAATTGCAGGCAAAGCTAAGAATATTATGGAAGATCCACAAAGCCTTCCAAGCTTTTAAATGGAGCAGCTGGATA